CAGATACAGCTTATTGCCCTGGTAGTATATAGTGTGATAAACTACATATTGGGGGGGTCATGTCTTCCGTTTTATGGATGTGTGATTACCAATGTATCATTGGGAAATGTCTGTTTATATGTGGACTTGAGACATAGAATTTTCCCAAGGAAAACAAATTGCAAGTTCCCAAAGAATTAAGCATTGAGGGTATACTTTGGAGCATTTTAATCAGAAAATATAGACATGAATGCACAGCCTATTGTGTCAAAGACAAGTTGTATACATTATATGCATCTTTGTCTCATAAAGATGAAGAGTTTTAAGAAGTTTTTTTCCAAAGGGTCAGAAACTAGGAAGGTAACAGAACAGTTGCACAAGGGACTTAGTGGAGCGGAATTGCCCCTGAGTAGTGATGCAAGCTAGGCAGCAACATTTGGTGTGAGCAAGAGACAGAGATTCTCTTTTCTTTGATGTTGCACTATCAATCCTAATGATTGAGAAGTACTCAACTACCCAGTCTCTCCTTCCAGGAAAGGATGTTGCTGATGCAGTAGTACTTCAGTTACTACCAGTAAAATATGTGTTGCCTCCTTTTGAAAAAACTGTGGAGATGCAGGCCTACAGTCTGGAAAAAGCATGTGAATACAATAGGAAACATACTGAATTTACTGACTTTCTCAGTGTCTTCCACTAAGAGTATTCTCAAACATCTTCAGCTGAATGTGTTTCCCTACTCATAGATGACCACCAACTTGTGTCTTTGTTTTGGGGGTTTGCTTTGCTTTTTTCTTGTTTTTATTTTGGGGTGCGGGGTTACAGTGACTTCGTAGGAAGATAAGACGGGGGACTCCTTCAATTCCACTTAAATCTTTTCTTTAGAAGAGAAGGGGAAGTTTGTCAGCTTTGGAAACTGATTTGCCTATTTCTGCATAATACAGACCACGCGCATAATAATACCTCACATTTTCCAACACTGCATTGTCCTGGTGGAATGTTATCTCGCAATGAATAATAATGCTTAAAGTTTACGTATCTAGAACACTTTATACGGCATATGTGTGTTCTGTTTTCTAAGGTGCATAAAAGCCCTGGGAAGAGCATACATATTCTCCAAAGATCTATTGCCCTGGGATTCAACAAGGCAGAATTTTAACAAGCTCTAAGCAGTTGGTTTCTGCAAAGGAGCCTTGTATGCCAGTTCTCAGTCTCTTGTCAGTTTTGAGTTCTTTGGGGATGCTGTGAACAGCTTTGTAAAAACTTGGTTCTTCCTCTAATGCTTCCACTCAAGCAAACTCAAAACCTATTATCCATTCACAGGTCTGATACTGCTTCTGTTGACTGTAACTTTGATAGATTTATCTGATTTATTTGTCAGTGTGTTGGAACTTCCCTCCAAAGAACTTCCCTCTCCCCCGCCCCCCCAAGTCAGTCTCAAAGAACATTTGCTCAGGCCTCTAATCGTCACAACCCCTTGTTACAATCATGCTAATAAGGCAAATGTAACTGACAAAACAGAAAAAGAGTGATCAGGTTGATAACATTTGAGCAGATCACCTCATCCTTTACAGGCTTGATACTATATCCATCAAGGGACTTTGATATGTATATGCCTACAATAAGTTGAAAATTGAATTCCTCAGTGCTTACCCTGGTACCAAAATTCTATATGTGCCCAAGTTTCTTGCATTAAAGTTCCTTGACTGCCTGAGTGTCTGCTTTTGGGAAGGTCCGTAAGTGCCCTTGACTGGACAGTGCTGAGCACCTATGCTAAATTTCATGCTTAAACCAGTTAAACAATATTTTATTACATTATTTTATAAGTATTCAGAAAAGCAGGAACTGGAACCGAGGGTTGTCCCCCTTTGCATCAAAATTATTCTGTCTTGTGTGTTCTCTTTCTGCCACAGTGAATGATTAAATATTCCATGAAAAGTGGAATAGCTACAGCAGGAAGAATTCTGAGCCACAATACCCTTTAACCTAGTGGTTAGGGTATTCTTTTAGAAGGTGGAAGATATGGGTTCAAATCCTGTTAGGTAGATCAGTGATTCTCAACCACATACCATAGCACCCACAGCCAGGAGTCCCGCACCGCCAGGAGCTGCCACTGCTGACCCCCTGGACAGTGCTCTGAGCCCCTGCCGCAGCTGCCAATCCTGCCCTGAAGGCGCCTGGCCAGGGGAGGGGGGAGGGTGGCAAAACGTGCTCCCTCACTGAGTTTCTGCTCATCATACTAAATACAGTGTGGGGGAGGTGGTAGAGATTCCCCCACCCCCTAGTTGTTGTTTTTTTTTTTAAACCTTTTCATGGTGATTACATGATTTAAAATGTCTTTTCTGAACATCTTCTTGCATTTGAATCTCAATGTATTGCACAGTGGTGGCCTAACTACTGACCTCTAGGGTAGTCTTGGGTGGATGCCTCGTTGGCCTGGCCTCTGCCTCCCCCAACCACTGTCCCCTTCAACCTCTCATCTTGTTGAAGTTGTTTCAATTTTCTATAAATTTGGCTAGAGAGT